AGAATACTTGGTAGAGTGTGAAAACCAAGAAACCTTCTGGTTTAATATTCAGTCTCTCACAATAAACCTAGCATAAAAACAATTATTAGAAGAATCTAAAGTATATTATACAAAAAAAATCTTAGAAGTACAATCTTTGGTAATCATCATACAGAAATACTTGAAACAAGAAAATGTCTAATAAAAGATTCTATTCAGATTGAGGTTCTAGAAAAGTAAAAAACATACTAGTATCAAGAAAAGAAGCTACAAACTATATTGACTATATAATTACTATAGTTTGGAATAGCTTTTTTGAAATTATATAAAAAGACAGGTACCAAAAAGTTAATATATAGAAAAAGATAAATAATATAACAAGTATAGCCAAAAGAGCAAGGAAAACCAAAGAAGAACAAAAACATTATACAAAAGAAAAGGAAAAGACAGAGAAGTAGCAATACTTCTACTTCATCAAGAGGAAAAAGAGAAAGCAAAATTTATGTATATCTTAAAAAGCCTGATCAGTATAAGGCAGTTAAATTTTTAGTAGAGGAAAGAATGTTAGGCTTTATTATGAGAAAAAAAAAGTTTTTTTTGTATAAATTCTAAATGGTCTACTACCAAAACCTGTTTAAAATATTAAGCAGTGCGACAAGGTGCACCTAGAACCAAGTGGCAACCAAATATACTGCTTTCAGAAAACAAACTATTTATAGTATAGTATAAAAACATTTTTTCTGTGTAATATAGATTATGTTCACTCAAAGTGCATAGCAGGCTTGTCTAAGAATAAAAAAAAAAAAAAAAATTCAAAATATCATAATAATTATATAATATAGTTACAAGAATATTATAATATTTTATTATAATTTGTAATAATTATACAAAATAGTTACTGAAGGTCATATTATTCAACTACAATTATTACTATAATTTTTTATTTTATAAAGATTTCATTACAATTTTTTATTTTTAACAGATCCTTTATTACTACATTACTTATAATTTTTTCTATATTTAGGTCATATTTTTTGGTTATGACTAATCATAATTTAAAGTACATAAACCCAGAATTGAGTTATAGAGTTTTTTTTACAGATTACTATATTACTATATTATAAATTTTTCTATGTTCAGATTATATTTTTCAGTTACAACTAATCAAAAACATTAAAGCACATGAACCCAGAATTGAGTTATAGAGATTACCATCCATTATTAGTGTCTTGTATATTTTTACTATTCATTTTTTTATTTTTCATATAAAATTAAAGTATAGTACAACTTATATTCTTAATTTATTTTAAATTACTAATTTATTTTGACATTAAAAATAAGTTTTATGATAATAAAAGGAAATCTAATTATCTTTTAAAGTATATAAAAGATTAATAATAGTCTTAAATTTGAATATTTTTATACTATTTACTTGTGATTAAATTTGTACAGCAAATATAAAAATACCCAATAGCAGATTGTAAAAATGAATATTTTTGAAATTACAGACAATCTAAATAGTTGAATGATTAAATTATATAGTAAATTCTATTTTAAAAACTATTCTATACCAACATAATTTTCTATATCATACTGAACTTGTTTATAAAGATTAGGGTTGCGACCCAAACCTACTAATTTGGGATTTTGTAGAATCCCAAATAGTATTTACTTGTTTTGCAAAATATTTTTAATTTTGAAATAATATCAAATATTCTAATATATAAATTATATTATGGCTAGAAATCTCAAATTTTTTATATGTAAAATCAGATTTGAAACTTATCTTAAACAAAGAAATTGTTTAAAGTCTGGCATCTTAGCTAGTAATATTACA